TTAAAAAATACGTATCAAATATTTTCATTTCTTCTGCAAACCCTCCAAGTTTCATTAAAATCGAAAAGGGACATCTGGGAGCCTTTCCTTGTAAGACGAGAACTGCTATTACAATTGAATTTTCAAGCTAATTACGATGTACAGGAGATGTGTTTTGCGTTAGATTGTTATTCTCAATATGTGTACACAAATTAAATTTTATAATTTTGTTGTATACAAGTCTTATAGCGAATTCAGTTGAACGCTCTATTACACGATAGTACATATTAAAGCCATACATTAATTTAATCTGTGTAAAAGTAAAATACAAACATTATATATAAATATATTGAATTTCATGATTTAATCCATTATTATATTTATATTAAACACATATTTTTTACGTCAGTTTGTATGCAACGGCTTTAATGTCCACAACAGTGTGCACTGAGTGCATTTGATCGAATTCATTACTCTACATTTATACATATAGCTGACACATGTAAAGTAGCAAAGATTTTTGTATTACATTATTACATCTAAATGAATGACATTTTTTAAAACGCATGTATTTCATTATCCGTTAATTATACAATTCGCTGAACAATTATATTACATTTCTGTATAATTCTAATATTTTGTAAACTTTGCAAATTAAATTTTATGTATGCATTTTTGTTTTCATAAATAAATTTATAGCACATCTTTCATATTTTTACAGAAACTAGTAACTTAAATTTTGTGAGATATGAAATTAGATTACATAACTATATTTGCATATTAACTATATTATAATTTATTTGTAATTGTCAATATCTTAAATATATTATATGCATAGTAAGAGTGCAACCCTAAAGCTCCCATAATATGAGTTTGGTGAAAGCAGATAAAGAATTATGGATAACAAATATTGCTTTCTTTCTTACATGCATAGAAAGAGTAAAAAATAATTACTCATTTTTCAGTTAAAGGTTAAAAAAAATAAAATACAAATATTACAAATAATTGAAAATTTCATGATTTAATCCATTATTATACTTACATTAAATACATATTAGGTGTTGGAATTAATTCGTAGCGTTTTACAATGAAAGAATGTTATTTATTTCTTATGTATATGACGGCTTTAATGTCCACAACAGTATGCACTTTAAAGTGCAAAGTTAAAGTTAAAGTAATAAAATTAACAAGGTGTTACCTTTTTGTAATAATTTATTTAAAAATGGATATACAGGGTGTTCCAAAACTAATAATAAATTTGTTTCAATAGTAATAACTAAATGCAAATTTATTAAATCTATTTGTAGCATATATTTATTGGTACAAGAATCATTAATTTCATTATAAATATCACATTTTATTTATTGAGTAAATATTTACTGTAAATAAATGTTATTAAAATTTAGTAAATTTTTTTTCATTATAGCCCTGTTATTATAATTTTTACATTCTTCTCATAAATATTATCATAGCCTCGACATTTTTGTATTAATCTTAGGTACTTTACCTAAGATCTTATTTATATGATGAAAATTAAACTGTGTTTATAACTATCTGTTTCTTTCTTCACTCTCGTTTTCTGACAATTTATGAAGCTGTACGACGTATATCGAATGGATTATAACGGATGACAAATCAGGAGGCTGCGTCTTCATTGCGAGTACTGAAAATCTGTAAGTTCACATTATACATACTACAGATTTTTAGTACTCGCAATGAATAACGGAACGCAGCCTAAAAGTTGAACCGCTTTCGCCAAACTCTTAATACAGGATCTCTACGAGACCATGTCTGTAAATGATGTATTATTAAAAAGTAATTATTAAAAGTAAACAACGATAGTAAATAATATTTGTAACACTTGTGACATACGAAACATTTATATTATTAAATTAGAAATAATGATAGAAAATTTATCGGCATATGTTTAATGTCATTATTTCTCGCAGAGAAATGTTTTTAAAAATATCATATCTGTGTAATACACCATTTATTTTTAAAATTAAGACAAAAATATATGTTAAGCCAAAGGAATATAATCTTTGTGTACGTAAAATACCACTACAATAAGTTCTGTAATTGAACTGTACATTGCGTCGTTCGTGATATAGATGTTATAATTTTATAACATTTATTAAATCACACTTATTGAAATAGTATATTATGTAATATAAGGTATAGTTATATATTTTATTAATTAACTGATGTCAACTTTAAATTAGTGATATTTTTATGTATGTTATACAATAGTATAAGTATTACTTGGAAAATTATATTACAATCTGCAATTGTCAGCGATAATAAAATTTGTTTGCAAATTTGTATATATTGCATTTATTTCTAAATAGAATATGAGTTGTGGAAAATTAAATTTAATTAACAATTTTGTACTTTTATTTTTATCTCAAAGTTAGAAATTTTATCATTTTTATTGAAATATTTAAAAAATTATACATTTGTTTAGTTTGTTGCAAAATTGTTACAACAAATGTATGTCTCTCTCTCTCTCTCTCGTCCCTTTTATATACCTAATATATTTCTGAAAGTTAACATTTTTATTTTAAAGTTTTTTAAATTTTTATTTTACGTGAAATTGAATTATAAATATTCTCAAAACGAAAAATGGTTAAATCTTTTTTATTTTATAGAGATTAATGAAATATACATTGTTTCTCTCTCTCTCTCTCCACATATATATATATATATATCGTTTAATTAATAAGAGCTTCCGGTTTCCGGTGTTTTGAAAAAAAAAAAAAAGAAAAACTAAAGAAGGAGTGTTGCGCTGCATTACCGGCAGGTGGCGCGAAGATCGCGCGGCGTCGCCATCGATGACAGCGGCGGCGATCAAAGCTGTGCGGAGTATCCGGGAGAGCAGTCGCGTTACGCTCGGTGCTTTCCTCGTCGCGCGAATTCTCGGAGTCGGGAGTCACACGTATTACGTTATACGTATATACGTGTGCGCGCGCGGTTCGCGGCAGCCGGGTCGATGTGAAGAGGAGAAGCGAAAAACGCGAAGGGGAGAAGTGGCGCAAGAGCGAAAGATGACAGCTCGGCGTGTGATTTGACAAGTGGAGAAGATAGCGTCCGATGGGAAAAGTGTCCTGTTGAATACCGTGGTGGTTGACGGACTAGTGGACTTTAAGGTATCCGCCGCGCGCGCAACCCTGCGTATGTAAACTCCTTCGGTTAGTGCTCTTTCTCTCTCTCTCTCTCTCTCTCTCTCTCTCTCTCTCTTGTCTGGTGCTCCCCTTTTACCATTCGCGCGTTAGGGTAGCGTTCGAACATAATCGCTCGATAATCGTGCGGATTCGAGGCGCCGCGCGTCATCGAACCGCGGTAAACTCGGTCGAAGTGCGGGAAAAAGGGTTCGAGAGATCGATCGCACGCGAAATATACCGCGCCAAGGAACCAGATCCGTACGACGCTAATATATACATACATATACCTATATATACCTATATATTCACATATATATATATATATACACGCATGTATTGCACTTGTGGGTGTATATACGTATTAAAAAATACATATATATTTATGTATATGTATGTATGCGCGTACGTGTGTGCGTATAGAAACCAGCCAGTGGAATCCCGGTTTAGTAATTGCGGGATGTAGTATGTCGTTTTGCGCGTTCTCTAGGTTTTCCTGTTTCCCATCGACGACCAATCGCGCCTCGCGCAATCCGGTTCGTTCCGATCGCCGATGACTCGGAGCATCCATAAATGTTTGCTGTTAAAAAATTTGTTCCACGGTATCAATTACAGAGTGATGTGTTTACTACAACAAGTATCAATTTTCTGCCAATGCGAAATTTCCAACTGTAATTACAAACGTGATAATCGCTTTTTTCTCCTGTTATTCTCTTTCAGTTCGATTACTTTGATCTTCTGTCCGTCGAATCGTTTAACATTTTCTACGTTACTATGAAATTATCGAATTACAAAAAATGCTCCGAAAATTAATATAATTTTAAAGTACTAATTTGAAAGTCACCATCAGTTCTCCAAAAGTTTATCTGTGACTTATATTACATATATTATCACGTTAAGTCTTTATTTTTACAATGCAATATTCTTGAATAAAGACCTTAATATTTTACATCGATATTAACTATGAATAATTAAAATATATATCAATATTATCTCCCTCTTCCTCTTTCTCTCTCTTTCTTTCTCTTTTAAAATTTTTTTTTGTTCTTAAACTGTTTAAAAAGAAATTCAAGCGCAGAATAGAACGCGAATATAAAAATAATCAAATCACAATAATCATTCTGAAACATATGCGCGACTATTTAGAATGGAACGTATCGAATGCGCACCGGAAATGAACGATGCAGCGGGGTTAAAGCATGCAGCGCCCAGGCGAGAGAAAAGAAAAGAAAAGAAAAGAAAAGAAAAACGCTTGTGAATTTGAGAAAATCTACGTCTCGAGACTCGAGTCCTCGAGTGCTGAAGAAGCCGTAAACGTCGGGAGCCGGAACGCGACGGGCACTTTTATCGCTACGGCTCGGAGAGGCGCGCAGTGCTCGAACGGACACGCTCGAATCGATTTTTCCGGTGGTGTACCACCGTCGCGTCGACTGTGCGGGCTTACCGCTCGCGTCGCGTTTCCTCGCGTGGGTTCCCGACTTCTCGCGACTCCTCGTCGATTACATCGTTCCGTTTACCGTTATTTCGCCCCGGTAGATATCGTCGCGATTACGCGATGATTCGCCTTAGGGCCTCATTCGTTCTTTGACCCTCGAGCAGAGAGTTCGCGATGAGTCCTGATTCCAAAACTGTCTTGCGTTCCCACCCAAAAGCTCTGGTCTCTCCGCTTTTACGATTGTTACGTTAGATGATTCGAACGCGATTTATTTGCGAGAAAAGTAGAATCGTGACGTACAGTGTTCTGAATGAATTAGGAGCATCCCAGACAACACGAATGTGATCGAGACGTTTGAAAGACGCTTTATATCTTTGAGATATAATTCCGGATCTTTATGTCTATCTATTGTTTGGTGATGTGATTACCGGTAAGATTGCACTTCGGGCGAGGCTCGCTCGCTTCTTCTTTCTTGGCGAATAGTTAACGGGAGGATGGTGCTCACAATGTGCCTGTGAACCGTTTCATCATGTACGGTTATACCACCCGTATCGCTTCGTGAAGACTAAAAATAGCGTTCCTCGAAGAACAGCCAAAGTAATTCGGTCCGATGGGACTATATTACACCGTCTTCTCGATATTTTATTTTATTCCCCCGACATGGGAATTAATTTTTATCATTGAGAGGCATTCGAAAGAGGCGATGGATCAAGTTCATAATTTCAGGTTCACTTTAAACATAAGATCGCTTTGAAGCTACAATGCGATTCATTTTAAACATCGCCAATTCGAGCTTCCCGTGTATACCACGTTAATAAAAGCCAAGTTTCGTCTATTAATAGTCTAGATTCCGTGTCTCTCGGGGGGAAAGAAAAACTCCGCGTTAAGAGGCTAAAATAAATTATACGTTATCGGTTAAGCGTCATTCACGGTTGCACATACTACTACTTTGATACATACTACTTTGATCGATTCTCGATCGGTCGCACAGATATCGGGATTCCCAGGCGTGGACCGAAGTTGAGAATTAACGAGCGGAAGTATAAGCGGAACGAGGGCGGCGAGGACGACGGCGGTGGCGGCGGCGGCGGCGGAGGTGGCGAGGGTGACGAGGCGAGGGTGTGAGACAACGAGAGGGTGAATCGACGGTACGGCCGAAGAATGACGGGCGAGGACGGAAAGCGCGGTGGCGGCGCCGGCGACGTTACCACTGGAGCAAATATGAACACGAACGTCACCGATAACGTCAACAATGTTAACGCCAATGTTAACGCCAACATAAACGTCAGCCAGCAAAACGGCGGACCGGAAAAGGCTCCCGTAGTCGGCGGTACCAACGTGGAGACGCTGCCACGCGCCGGCAAACAGGTAAGATTGATGAACTTTTTCTTTACTGACTGCACTGACAGCGGCGTGGATCCGGAACGCTGAAAAACTAGCGTCAACAGCGTGATATGACAACAGTATGATTGAAACCTGTTTGATTTCATGTAATTCTTTTTTTAATTTTATCTACGATGTACAGAAAAAAGGTTGAATTGGGACATTTAAATGACGATGCAATTGTAATTAATTTATTCCCTCGAATTTCTCATTACGTTTCTTTTTTCGTGACTGATTGTCAATTATAATTTCTTTTATTTGAATGTAGACAATGAATAAACAAAAGATGATCTAAAGGAAATTCTTTAAAAAAAAAAAAAGAGAAAGTTTACTATTTGAAATTTCCCATTAAAAAATTTAAAAATTATTACTTAAAGTTATAAAGTAAAAATTGGAAAGCTGTTTAAGTTTATCATTCTCAATGTTTCAATTCGATATCTGAGAATACATTGTGGATACCGGATACTTGTCCAGCAATTTCACTGATTTGTACGTTGCAAAAGACAGGGTATGCAATTAACATGCATATTGAAAACATTAGAGAGTTTCGATCGTGCCAAATCGGAGTTGATATTTAATATAATAGAAATATTTCTATCCATGTATATATATGATGGTATTGTAACCGAAGTTGCATAATTATATATGGGAATACCTGTACAATTATGTTTTAAAAATTTGCTGTGTCACGCAACACTCAAAATTATCAACGTACTGCATGGTGTGCGCATTAGTTTGTTACATTGAACGTATGTATTTTTGGCCACGAGACGAGGGAAGTGGGTGGCATTATCACAAATAATAGGCTTCGTATATACATACCATCTAATAGCATATACGGGCTCACATTCAACCGTTGTTTCGCCGCATGTCAGCTCGCAATTTCGATTGCGTGTGTAAAGTGCGAGAGGAGGGTTCGGTACAACTGTTCTCTCATTTGACACTCTTCTCACGCGCTACGTTACTTTCTTTGGCAAAAAAACTGTCTGCATGAACGAATTTTTATTTCTTTTCTTTTGCTTGTAATATTACTTTTTTTTCAGAAATCCGAACCGCTTGCAAGTGTGTCTGGTCGAGTGTCTGGTCGCCTAATCATTTCGCGATAAACAAACTAATGCTAAAAAAATCTACAATTTTAAATATATTTTGCCGAATGTTTTGTAACTTGAACTGGATAGGACGATGTCGTTCATTAAGATCCCCATTCGTAGAATGAGCAATTTATAAAATTCTGTTTGGTGAATATTTGAGAAGTCGCGTCAACAGTACGACTGCCTTTGTCGCAAATCGTTATATCAACCGCGTTAACATGCAAAGCGGTCATTAAGACGATGTGGCCGACCGATTGTTGCGGCTCAAAGGTCATGGTTACTCCAGAACGCAGGCTACTGCAAAGGTAGCTACTAAGTAGAGGAATGCATGTGCTCGTGTTCACGATACCGAAGATTCTAAATTTACTCTCCAAAATAGATAAAAAAAATCCTACGTCGATTGGGCGCGCACGATTTTGCAGGTCAGAAAGGTAGAAAATGTCAAATTGCTTCGTTAGTCGCAGCTTCTTCCGTATCATTCTTGTTTATTATTATGTCGTTAAGTACAAAAATAGTAAAGCATTAGATACCTTCATAGTTAAAAAAACAAAGATAATAAGTTTAAGTACTTTGTTTTGATCTAAGTGAGAAAGCAAGTTAATAAGACGAGAATTTGGACAAGATAAACTTTTTGCTTATTACTAGAAGCATAAGAAACCGGTTGTGACATAGATCGGAACATTGTGACATAGACTTAGTGAGTTAGATAACGATTTTATTTTTAATCCGTGTCTTTGCTAATTTTTTACCCTCAAGTAAAAAATTTACTTTTATTCATTTACTTTTCTCTCTCTCCTTAAAAAAAATCTATCTTATCTGTACATCTATGAACATCTACGTCGTTTACTGATGTTTAAGTATCTTTTGCCTGTATTTAGATGGACATTTTACCTAGATATATTAAAAATAAATATTTCCTACATTGTTGTCTTCATTCTATATCTATCAGTATAATCTCATTACAATTTATAATTTCGAGAAATTTTTGGTTATATTCAAGATAACGATTTTATACCACGCGTGTTTGAACGTAGCGTGCATAAGTCGAGCTCTATAATAACGATGAATGTACATAATCGCACATTTTATCAATGTAAATCGGTGGAACTAGTATAATAAAAAAGGAATAAAAAAAGGAATCATATTTTCAAACATATATATTTATCGTTATGCTGTGTTAGAAAATCAAGTCGAGACTCTTATGTTAATTAATGAGTACTTCTCTGCTATAAATAGCCGTTGCTTTATTCTCTAAAAATGTGTCGCTTGTGACGAGCGATGTAACTCCATTGCGGCGTAACTCGGTGACGAGTTATATCATTCCCCTTAATGTTGTGATGTCATATGTTATGAATGCCGCTGACTCTTCGGTTTAACAAACGTATCATTTCTCACTTTTTCGAATCTCAGAATTCTCAGAAATCAACATTATACATGGAAGACCCGTCTAAAATAGTATAATCAACAATACAAATATTAGAAAGATATAATGATGTAAGACAAGACAAATAATATTTTCTTATAAACAAAGTAAGTTCTTTATTAATAATTTTTTTATAATAAAAATAGAAATCCTGTTTAAAAAATAATTATTATAAAGTATAATGATAATATTAATGGAACAAATTATAGAATTGCTTAAGATTCATAGCAAACTTTTATGTACGACTTATCGCTATATAATTAATACGCAATATTGAGATGCATAGCTTTCTAAACGATAAATAGTATAACCGATAGCATGCAGCTTATCAAGATTTTGCAGTCTTCAACGCAATACCTTTTACACGAGGATTCCATTGATTCGCGTTACGATCTGCTGTCCGGGATCCAACATTTAGCCACTCTCTATGTATAATGCCTACGTGGACTCTGGGATTACGTCATAATTTTATCGTGAACCTTCACCAGCGAACCTTGAACAATGTCTCGAGGCCATAGCTAACCGATTTCGAAGAGAGATCCGAGATCCGTATATTTTTCTCCGTTGTAAATAAAAATACGTTGAATTAGGTTCACAGTTGAGTCATACTAGATAGCGAATTGATTAACTGACCGAGGCGCAACGACTGGTACAGCTACAAGATTGGTGGTTGCGACATTGCGTGTCTTCTTGCCCATGTAAATCAAGGCCAGTTTATCGCGAATATCTCGTTCGTGAAGCGATACAAATAATTTCAAAAAATTCGCGAACCTAAAAATTTGTTAAATTTACATGTTACAAGTGAAAATTGGTTAAATTTGCATGTTACAAGGAAGAAACGCTTCTTTGTAAATTGATTATGTTTTATATAATCAAGGTATGCTCTTCTATATAACTGTCCATTTTTATATCTTTAAATTTAGATTTAAGTTTCTCGCACGCCACAGAACCTGTCATTGAAATTGAAAGAATCCCCGCGGGGGATCCAATCGAATTATAATATAAAACGGCACTGTCGATTTGTCGGTTGAATTTGAAACTGTATCTGTCCTTCAGGATGTCCGCGTGCGCAGACAAAAAGACATGAAGGTGGTGCTGCAGCGATCACGAATCTGGGTCAGTCGCGACGCATTACGGAGGGTTTTAGACTATACGTCCGTCCAATTTCTTGTATTCAATGGCGATCAAGCTGTCGTTTCCGTGATGCGCTTTTAGAGGATGACTACGTTGCCAATCAGCTTGACGTGCGAGTTACATTTGATTGTCTGTAATAAGACGTTATGTGCAATAACATCACGCCGTGATGGAGGCACGTGCGTTTCTTACGATGATGTGTCATCTCTTCTGTGAAATATCGGCACAAATGCTCCAAGTATTCGAGTAAATTACTAAAGACAACTACACAATCATACAGCTGATTTGACATAAATGTTGTAAGATGAAACAGACGAATATTTATTCATCTTGGAACGAGCTTTATAAAAATACAGAGTGGGGGGGGGGGAGGGGTTCTCAACAAGATACATACAAAATTATAACGGAAGTATGGTTCAATGAAAAATTAGAGAACATATAATTAACTCAAAATTAAAAGAGTACATCAAAGCTCTAGAGTAATCATATATTTTGAGGAAACATGTGCTAAAATTGATGTTTCCACGTAAGAACTGGCAATTTGCATAGCGATATAATCAGAATTTCTCACTTTAATAAGGACATTACAATATATTAAAACGATATTTGCGTTATTCGCGATGCATTGGCTAAATAATTCAAACGACACCGAAGGGCGCGGCTACCTAACCGTAACAACTTTTAATAATCTTCCATGTATTGATCAGCAAGTCCATTGCACCGTGTCATTTTTATGGTTGAAAATGTAATGTATGCGTTCATATGCGGAACACTTATTTTCCATTCGTCGATTCCTGGCCGGATGAGACCGCGTTGCGAAACCGCAGGCGGTCTACACACACATATATATATATATATACACACACACACACACTGTGTACGTGTTGTGTCCTTTCCGCAACTATTGCAAAGGTAGACTGAAAATAAACGTTTTCGCGCCGGTAATGCCGCGTTGAAGCAAGAATGCGAAGCAGCTTCACGCTTTATGCTAGATGGTCCACAATGCGCGCATCACCGTGAAATTTTACTTTGACACGTTTTTTAGCTCGAAATCGCTGCAAGTCATCGAGTCATCAAATTTATTTATTGACGCACGCGGGTCTGAAAACAATTTCTTATGATAGGACAAAAAAATGAAATTGCTTGTAATGCGGTTTTTAGAAATATAAAGATTGAAAAGATTCGTATATATTGTATTCTAGGAAACAATGTCTACATTATTATATCTAGAAAAAAATTGGCGCTCAAGTTATTTTTCTATAACCCAAAATATATGAAAATAAGAGAATTAATGAAGAAATATTTTTAATTGAAGAAGATATTATGATATGTTTGGT